TCCTGAGACAGGTTGCCCAGACTGGTCTCAGATTTGTGATCCTCCTGCTTCAGCCTCCTGAGTAGCTGGGATTACAGCGTGTACCTTTATAACCAGCCTAATTTGCTGTTTTCTTCTTTGGGGAAATGGGTAGTTATGGCATGAGGCGGGAGAAACTGAGGTGGGCTCCACCTTGGAATTGTGCCCTCAACTCTGCCTGGTGTGTCATCTCAAAGGGCTACCGCCTCCAGCTCCAAGTGCCACTGAGATGGCAGGGAGCAAGGAGGTTTTTCTTTCCAACGAAGGCATGAACAATGCGTGTGTGTGTGTGTGTGTGTGTGTGTGTGTGTGTGTTACTGGGGATGGAACCCAGGGCCTCACACATGCTAGGCCAGGGCTCTACCACTGAGCTACATCCCCAGCCCTTTCTTTTAAATTTTTTGAGACAGTGTCTCACTAAATTGCCCAGGCTCCTTTTGAACTTGCCTCAACCACCTAAGTTGCCCCAGATGGTACTTTTAAAAAATGAATTTTCCTGACTGTTTGTTGCTACTTTACAAAAATTAAGTTGATTTCTGTATATTGATTTTTTCATTTAGAAAATTTGGTACACTTTCTTACTAATTTAATCCATTTCTGTCGGTGTTTTGTGTATATGAGGCAGATTTTTAAAAATTATTTTATTTTATTTATTCTAATTTGTCATATATGACAGCAGAATGCAATTCAATTCATATTACACAAATAGAGCACAATTTTTAATGTCTCTGATTGTACACAAAATAGAGTCACACCGTTCCTGTCTTCATACATGTACTTTGGGTAATGATGTCCGTCTCATTCCACTGTCTTTCCTACCCCCATGCCTTCTTCCTTCCCCTCCCTCCCCTTTGCCCTATCTAAAGTTTGTCTATTCTTCCCATGCTACCCGCCCATCCCCATTATGAATCAGCATCCTTAAATCAGAGAAGACATTTGGCATTTGGTTTTTTGGGATTGGCTAACTTTACTTAGCATTATATTCTCCAGCTCCAATCATTTATCTGCAAATAGGGAGGCAGATTTTCTATGTAGACCAACACAATACATCTCAAGGAAGTGTGATGTCTCCTAGAGGGAGTTTTGGAAATTTTCAGGGAATTTTTTTTTGTTGTTAAGCCCCAAAATTTACACATCAAAATGCATGTTGCTGTTGTTAATTTGCAAGGCTAAGGATTGAACCCCAGGCTTCACACATGCTAGGCAAACACTTTACCACTGAGCTACACCCCCAGCTTTTTAAAAAAATTTATATTTGGAATATGGACTTACTGAATTGTCCAGGATAGGCTTGAACTTGTGATCCTCCTGACTCAGCCTCCTGAGTAGCTGGAATTACAGGTTTGCACCACTGAATCCTGCTTCAAAATTTATATTATTTTTATTTTAATGTATTTTATTTTGCTTAAAATTAGAGCACTAGGTTGATTTATAAATGTGTGTGGGCAGATTATATCATCTGAGAATTTCATTTCAGGATGGAGAGAGTATCTTAATTTGTTATAGAAAGGGGAACTTGGATTGGATAGAATTGTAAATTTCCAAGGTTTTAATGGTTTTATCTTGCTGTACTTTTTTTTTTTTTTTTTTGGTACCGTGGTTTGAACCCAGGGACATTTAACCACTGGGCCACGTCTCCCCAGCTCTTTTCATTTTTTTTTTTTATTTTGTTATTTAAAGACAGGGTCTTACTGAGTTGCTTAGGGCCTCACTAAGTTTCTGAGGCTGGCCTTGAATTTGCAATCCTCCTGCCTCAGCCTCCCAAGACACTGGGATTACAGGCATGTGCCCAGGCTTTTTTCTTATCTTGATGCACTCCCCCCCCCCCCCCCACCCCCCGTTTTTGGTACTGAAGACTGAACCCAGTATATTTTACCATTGAGCTACCCACCTGATTCTATTTTTTATGCTGCATTCTTGAGTCCTGGGAATGTTGAATAGAAGTGGCCACGAGGAGATGACGGGCACATTTTGTCTTGTTCCTAACCTAAAGGAATGCTTTCACCCCTTTTACTAAGGTTTTCTTTTCTTTTAAAAATTTTCCTTGGTTTTTTAGGTAGACACAATACCTTTATTTTTTAATTTTTATGTGGTGCTGAGATTCAAACCCAGTGCCTCACATGTGCTAGGTGAGGTCTCTGCCACTGAGCCCCAGCCCCAGTACAGGTTTTTCTTTAGAATCACGAAAGGATTTTGAATAATTTTTAAGCTGAATCTTTTTTTTAATTGCAAACTGTTTTTGGATGCAGAATTTTATCAAACTTTTCCCTGAGGATCTCAGATGTTCATATTTCTCTTGATGCCATATATCAAAGAAGTATCTTCCTGTGTTATCTATCAATTGTGACCCCCCCCCCCCCCAACCCTGTGCTGGGGATCAAACCTGAACCTCCAGCAGGCAAGCTCTGGTACACCCTCAGCCCATGATTGATCTTGTAATGCTAAACCCAACTGGACTGGGATACCCAGTTTTAAACCGGATACATTCTCCTTTAGCGCTGCATTTCGTTTGTTAGCATTTTAATGTAGGACTTTTGCATCTATGTTTGTGAGTGAGACAGGCACATCGTCTTCCCTACTCGTGGGGTCCTTGGGAGGTTTGAATGTCAATCAGGCTTGACTCATGAAGCGAGTTGGGAGCACTTACTGGTGGGATGAGGGCGTGTGACGTCAGGGAAGCTGAGCTGATCGTCCTCCCCAGCTGCAAGTCTAATCAGAGCCCTGGGAGCTCCAGCTGCTCACAGACTCGCTGGGAACCCAAGTCGCCTGAATCGCCCCCCAGAGGTCTCAGCAAAATTCACCAGCCTCGTGTCCTAAAGTCCTTGCAGGAAGGAAGTCACGGCCAGTCCCTATCAGAACGAAGAGCAACGTCTGTGACCCATGGTGTGTGGGGCGCGCCCCCTGGCGGTATCTTGGCGCATGAGCTCAGGGAGCCGGGCAGTATGTGCAGGGCGGTGGCACCAGATGCCCCTGATTGCCAAGTGGCTGCAGGTGATGCCAGGATTCTACGGCCGCGTGGCTATCCCTGCACCCTGACCATCCCGGACCACTCTAGCGACCCAGCTACAGAGACAGACTGACCAGGACCCAGAATCACACAGCAGACCCATAACTGCAGTTTTCGGACACACCTAAGCCTTGAAATTCCTGAACGTGATTTTTTTTCCGGTAAAATGGGGATAATCCCTCGCAGGTCAGGGAAATGGGAGGATATTGTGGAAACAGGATTCAATTTCCAGAAGATACTTATGCCTTCTGTCTTCAGCATTCTTGTTTTCCTGTCTCTTTTAAGTACTGGGCAAATGGCATCTGGGGCAGAAAATTCAGGATTAATGACACAGTCGTCCAAAATGAGAGTCTGCATCAGAGAGGTCTATGAGAAGGAAGTACAATACATCTTTTACTCATTTTTTGCTCATTGTTTCATTATGACTCATTTATTTCATAAATATTTATGGTAGGTAGAATAATGGTTCCCTTGATGTCCTCACCCTAGTCCCTGAAACCTATGAGTGTATTAGGTTACGTGGCAAAGGGAAGGGAGGTTATCGATAAAGCAAAGGTTGCTAATCAACTGGCTCTAAGATAGGAAGAGAATCCTGGACTATTCAGGTGGGTCCTGTGTAATCATTGTATTCCTACAAGTGGAAGAAATAGACAATTTGCCTAGCATGCTCCAGGCTGTGGGTTTGATACCCAGCACCAGGAGGAGGGGAGTGAAGGAGAAGGCAGAAGAGTTGGAGAGAGATTTGACCACAGAAGCAAAGTACAGAGACACAACATTGCTATTTTTTGTTTGTTTGTTTGTTGTAGTTGTTTTTTGGTACTGGGGATAGAACCTAGGGGTGCCCTTTCACTGAGCTTTATCCCTGGGCCCTTTTTATTTGTTTGGAGGCAGTGTCTGGCTGAGTTGCCCAGGCTGGCCTTGACTTGCCATCCTCCTGCAGTCTCCTGAGGGGCTGGAGATTACAGGTGTGCACCACTGCACCCAGCTTCTCTTATGTCATCCTTCTTTTTGGTACTGGGGATTGAGCTCAGGAGTGCTCTACCACTGAACTACAGCCACAGCCCTTTTTAAAATTTTTTTTTTTTAAATTTTGAGATAGGGTTTCTCTAGTTGCTTAGGACCTTGCTGAGGACCTTGCTGAGGCTGGCCTCAAACTAGCTGTCAAGTCTCCAAGTTACTGATTACAGGTGTGCACCACCATGCCTGATTTATGGCATCTTTTGATAAACAGAAATTCTAAATGCTATATTAGAAAAATTTATTGTACTTTCCCCTTATCTTATGTGTTATCTCCTACAGCCTCCAGGTGGTAATGCTGTCCTACCAACACCTTGATTTTAGCCTAGTGAAACCAGTGTTGGATGATAGAACATAGGATAATAAATGGGTGTGACTTCAAGGGGTCAAGTTTGTGGGAATTTGCTACAGCAGCAATAGGAAACCAACACAGCGTTCTCACAGATACAGTTCACACCACTAGAACAAAACGGTACTCATTTGCTCATTCCTTCATCCCTAAAGCACTTAGGAAGTACTTGTTATGGCCTGCTCATAAGCAAGGCCAGCAAGGGTCAAGTGGCTGTGGCTACTGGGGGTCCATGATCAGGGCTGGGGGAAAGGTCGCCTAGATGGCGCTTCTTCCTCCTGTCCTGACTGGATCTCAGTTTCCATTTTGCACGGTGAGGCCTTTTTTGACCTCTCATGGCAGGAATGCTATTAATGCTCCTCAGTTCCAAATGTAAACTGGCTACTGGGAGAGGGCAGCCATCTGATGATTGTCAGCCAGCTGTGGTTTGACTCATTTGAGAAGGAAACTCAACAAATATATATATATATTTAAAGAGAGTGAGAGAGAGAGAGGGAAAGAGAGAATTTTTTAATATTTAATTTTTAGTTCTCAGCGGACACAACATCTTTGTTTGTATGTGGTGCTGAGGCTCGAACCCAGGCCGCACGCATGCCAGGCGAGCGCGCTACCGCTTGAGCCACATCCCCAACCCCTCAACAAATATTTGTATCGCACGTGACAGGTGAAATTGATCCTGACCCCCACACCTCCCTTATTCCATTGTTCATGAGGAGCAGAACGTGGGAGCGAGGTATGCTGAAGGCTCGCGGAGGAGCAATGATGCTGGGCTTGGGAGGGTACACAGACATCCCAGACCCAGCGGTCCTCAATCTAAGCTGCACCTTAGAACCACCCAAGGAACCCAACCAAAACCACCACAAACATGTTTGGGGCCACTACAGACCAATAAGATCAGAAGCCCTGAAGATGGGGCCAGGAGAATATTCCAGACCCTTGCCCCGCGGTGGTTTCAAGGTGAAGGTGGGATTCAGATGCACCAGCTGGGCAGGACAATGTATCAGAGCAGGGAAGACGCATTCTCATCATACACGGGGAGGCCCTGGTGGCTGAGGCCACTCATCAACCCAGTGCAGCGCAGCCTATTCAGCCTCAGGAAACCCTGTGTCCCCGGCCACAGCTCAGCTCTGGGTTGTGAAGTGCCTTCCACATGAGCAGCATCTCATAGGGCGCGAAGCGGTGCACTAGCAGCAGCTCGCGGTACATGCAGGGGTCGAAGGAGGGCTTCTGGGCGCCGGGCAGATGCACACCAAAGGGCCGGATGCCCTGGTGGCCACTAGGCTGTAGGCCCGCGCGCTGCAGGCACATGCCCATGTAGGCGTCGTCTATGGGGAAGAGAGGGGTGTGGCGTGCCGCTGTGCGCAGGGCCCGGGCCGTGTGGCGGGACAGGACGAAGCCGCCGCCACTGCAGTACACTGGGTAGGCCTTCCCAGGGAAGAGCTGTGGGGGCACAAAGTACTTGCTCCAGCTGTCCCGAATGGGCACGGAGCCGTCCATGAGCTGCCCGGCGAAGAGGTGGCGGTCGGGCGACTGTGTCTCTAGGAAGCTAAGCACGTTGGCTGTGTGCACAAAGACGTCGTCGTCGCCGCTGAGCAGGAAGCGGGCCTGCGGGCAGCGCGCCGCCAGCCAGTCGAGCAGGTGCACGTGCTTGAGCGTGAGGTTGAGGAAGGTGTCGGCGAAGGCCCACTGCAGCACATCGCGGTGCTCGCGCGCCTCTAGGCGCACCAGCTCGGCGAGCTGCGGCGCCTGCGCCGCCTCCTCCGGCGCCGGGGTCCCCAGCAGAAAGAGGCGGCGCACTTGCTGCCCTCTGTACCTGCGTTCCTGTCCCCACGTGCGACGGATGAGCTCACGCCGCTCATAGTTCGCGGGCGACGACTTCACCGCCAGGAGCAGGAAGACGCCGTGGCGGCCCGCGCACTTGGCTGGCGCGTCCCAGAGGAGTGGGAAGTGGCGGCAGTGGCGGTACCGCAGAAAGTCTTGGATCCTTGCCGGCAGCTGCTCGAAGTCTTCCCTGCGGTTCGCGGAGGCATTGGCCACGCACGGGAGCCCCTGGTGGAGCTGGAGCGCAGCGGGCTGTTCCGCAGCATAGGGAGTGTCGCTAGCGTCCGTGGGGTCCTCCTCCTTCTGTTCCTGCTGGGACCTCGGGGCTTGGAGGAGCCAGAGGCGAAGTGCCAAGAAACTCATGCCCACCAGAAGGCAGGCCAGAGTCTTGGGATTCATGGACCTTCGGCAGGGAAAAGCCATCTGTGGGGATACCAAGTCAAAGATGAGCGGGGTTCTTCGACATCATGGGGATGCCACTCTTGTGCTATCGTGTTTCTCCCAGCACAGTGCCCCTGCCCTTTCTTTTTTCTTTTGGTACTGGGAATTGAACCAAGAGGCGCTTTACCACTGAGTTACATTCCTGGTCTTTTAAATTTTTAAAAATTTATTTTTAGTTTTTATTCTCAAAACAGGGTCTCACTAAATTGCTGAGGCTGGCCTTGAACTTGGGATCCTCTGCTTTGGCGTCCTGGGTTGCTAGGATTACAGGCGTGCGGAACCTTTTTTTAACGCTGCTGCTAAGATATAAAAAGAAACCAAAATTCAATATTACACTGAGGTATCTCAGGCCTCTTACAGTCCAGAACTTTCTTCTGACCTGCACCTCTGTGTATCTCATTGCCCGGGCTCACCCAGCAGATTCATCATGTCCAAAGTCAATCTCCATCTTGCTATGAATCTGTATCCTCAGTCAGTTGAGCTGCTTCAACCAGAAGTCCTGACTCTCTCCTCTGCTCTCAGCTTACATCCACTTCCCACATCCTGTTGATTGTGCATCCTACACCTCTCTCATGTTTGTTCCCTCCTCCCCATCCCTGCCTTGCCTGGATCTTTTATTATATTCCCTGTGTTGGGGCCAGTCAAGAAAGTATGAGGCCACAGCACTGAAGCAGACAGAATTCTGGCTTCCCAACTTAGAACTGTATCATCTGAACAAGGCAATTCAGATCTCTGGGTCTGAGTGTTCTCATCTAACAGTAAATTCCCACCCTGTGGGATTGTTGTGAGCATTAAATGAGCACCAAGTGGCCACTGGATGATACCAATATCCAATATGACCTTTTGTCAGCCCCCAGTCTCACTTGTTTCTGTTTCTACTTAGGGTATTACTTGCTGTCCCCTACATGCAAGTCAGGGTCTGTCCTGCATGTAGCCTGCCCAGTGTGCCTCAGGTGAGGACTTCCTAAAGACCTCACAGGACAAATCCCATTTTTAATTATGTCCTGTTAGACTTTGACATTGAGTTCTGCCATGCATGGGGCATTGCCATTTCCTTTTTTCTTCTTCACTAGAGCACTGCAATTTTACATAATTGTGGAATTCATTACATATTTGTACATGCACACAGTATAACAATTTGGCCAATTTGTTCTCCAGTACCTCCCCTTTCCCTCTCCTTCTCTCCCCGACACTCCCTTCTTAAAAACCACTCCTGTTTCAGATTTACACTCTCCTGACTTTTCCCCTTCATCTTTGACCATGTCTCACTTCCCTTTGCTCTCAGTTCCCTATCTGGTGACCTTCAGTAGTAGGAGGTTTCCAGGGCTGTCTTAGATAAGCTTTTCACCTTTGTTCAGCATGATCTCCTTTACCATGTCGTTCAAGCCAAAAACCTCAATGGACTCCCACCTTTCCCTCATTTCTGCACTAAGCCCAGTCACTTCTAACTTGCATTTCGTCAACCTATGTCTTTCCATTCCCCCTTTCAACAGGCCAATGCACCCCGGCATCTCCTGCTGCGATGACATAGCCTCCTGTATGATCTCTCCTCCCACTTTCTCCCTTCAGCCTAACCCACCTCTGCTGCAGAGAGGTCTCTGAACTGTGCAGATGTTCATGCCATTCCTTATATCTTTTCCCCATCTTCCCTGGGTGCCATCTGCCCTGACCATCAGCTAAGTTGCAGCCTCCAGCTGCCAAGCCTCTTTCTACCCTGAAGCTTTTTCTTGCTGTTCGCCTACCTGGACTGACCACCTGGAGCTCTTGCCTACTCAATGCCTTCTCATTCTCTGGTCCAAGTGGGAGAACCTCATAGATATGTCAGAGATCTAACTGCCCAGCCAGAAACGCTAGCTATAGGTATTGTTCTTCGCCCGGTCCTGCTTCAGTGTTTGGTGCACCGAGGGAAGAGGGGTGAGGAGATGAGCTATGTCTATTATCATCATAGGTACTCAGTGCAGAGTCCTGTGCCTGGCACTTTTGGGGCAGTTTATGAATAAAAGAATAAAAAATGAGTGAAAATAGAATTTGGAGTGTGAATAACTGGGCTTGTGTCCCAGCTCCTTTCAGTTTCCTCATCTGAAAAATTAAGAAAGCAAATATTCTTAATGAAATACTAATTTGGTGGGGCCAAGAGTGCCTTACAAATACTAGTTAAAAATAATTATTGGGGCTGGGATTATAGCTCATTGGTAGAGCACTTGTCTAGCACATGTGAGGCACTGGGTTCGATCCTCAGTACCACATAAAAATAAAATAAAGGTATTGTGTTCATTTACAACTAAAAATATTTAGAATGTTCCCTTGTCTTCCCCAGCCAACACCAAATCATTTCTAGAAAGACATAACCTCACCTCAGCCTTAATACAACACTGAATCTTATTTTACGACATGTGCATTTACTTTAATAAACCTGACCCAGGAAACTGAATCACAGCCAACTTTTGATATGAGAGGAAAAGGTGAGGAGCCAGGTCCCGTTCCTGCAGGCAGCAGTCGCTTGCTCAGCTCTGTTTTTGGACACTATGCTGCAGGTTTAGACTTGCTGGGAAGCATTGGGCGCCCTCTCTATGGTTCTTTTTGCTGGACTTCTCTTTTCCCAAAGCACTCTCCAGGTGCCCTGGAGGCCCACAATTTAATCTTGGCTGGCCCTGCTCCTTTGTCTCTCAGGACTCAGCTCCAGTACCACCTCATGGTAAGTCCAGGGCAATAGATCCTGTCTCCTTGTAGGTGCCATGGCTTTGGAGTTCGCAAAGTTGTTGAAAGAGGACAGATCTGCCATTTATTTGACCCCTTTGAGCATCAGGTTTCTTACTGTGGGATCTCAGGCAGGTTATTCATCTCAGTGTCTCGGATTATGAGTTAATTTGTGCAGATCCATGCTTGATGTGAAGTAAGCACCACAGCCATGTAAGCAGTTGGCTAACACACGAGTACTTGTGGGTTGAGCCGATCATTTTTATATGAGACTGTCTTGCAGTCTCACACAGTGTGGTGTAAAGCTCCTTTGTAGTGTTCCAACTTTAGGTGTTTCTCACTCTTACTGTTTTATGTTTTTTTATGCTATTCACTCTGTCTAGAATTCCTCTCTTCTTTTTCCAGGAACTATTTTGGTTATTCCCTCCACTGATTTGATGCCGTTATGGCTGAAGCAAATTCCTGTGCCACCCACTGGCCCCCTACCTCTCTGGGGAATTCATGGGGCTGTATTTGTACAGCAGATGTGGGAGGCAAAGAAATCTTGTGAAGTCCTAACCACTGGGTTCTGCTACACTGGACCCATGCAGTGCTGAGTCCTGGTTCCTTTTTCCTTGAGCTCCCTCTGGTTCTTGCTTGGAGCTGTAAGGTGAAGGGAGTGGGGAGAAGGAAAATGTACCTCTTTCCCAATAGGAAAAAACCCAGGTCCCCATCTTACCTTGCATGTCTGAGAGAGAAGAAAGACAGGAGCCATCCCCAAGCTGGAGCCGATCCTTTGCCAAACATTCTAGGTTCCACCCCCAGGACTGTGGCTTACTTAGTTCAGTATCCTTGCATTTGACCAATCCACGCCATACTTCTTCCTCCTCCTCCTCAGGGGTAGGGCATCCACAAGCTTCCTTAGTCAATGTGACTGCCTGATTGCTCTTAAAGATTAATCTCAGCGGCTGGGGATGTGGCTCAAGCAGTAGCATACTTGCCTGGCATGTGTGCGGCCCAGGTTCGATCCTCAGCACCACATACAAAGATGTTGTGTCTGCCGAAAAATAAATATTAAAAACTCTCTCTCTAAAAAAAGATTAATCTCAGATTTACATCTTTTTTCTAGGAGACTCTTTAATATTTATTTTTTTAGTTGTAGTTGGATACAATACCTTTATTTTTATGTGGTGCTGAGGATCGAACCCAGAGCCTTGCACGTGCTAGGCAAGCACTCTACCACTGAGCCACAACCTCAGCCCCTTCTAGGAGACTCTTCTTGACCTCTCCACCCAGCAATTGCTGAGTGCTCTCCAAATAATATACACATGACTGTACTGAACTGTTCTAGTGATGCGCTGCGTCAATCAATTATCCCTGCTTGATTGAGAGCTATCCTGGCTGGATGTAGCACCTATTCTGTTAATATAGGATGTGCTTTGAAATCTTTGAAAGGGTTCCATGAAAAATGTTCATATAGGAGCAGTTTTTTTTTTTTTTGTTGTTGTACCAGGGATTGAACCCAGGGGTATTTAACTACTGATCCACATTCTCAGCCTCCCCCCCGCCCCAATTTTAAATTACATTTTATTTAGAGTCAGGGTCTTGCTAGGTTGCTTTATGGCCTTGCTAAGTTGTTGAGGCTGGCTTTGAACTCACAATCCTCCTGCCTCAACCTCCCAAACTGGTGGGATTACAGGAGTGAGCCTCTGACTATAGGAGCACTTTTTAAACACATTTAATGACTTTTGTGTATAATGGTTTTTTTGTTTTGTTTTGTTTTTGTGTGTGTGTGTGCGCGCGTGTGCGCGTGCTGGGCATCAAACCCAGGGCCTTACACGTGCTAAGCATGCTCTCTATCACTGAGCTATACCCCTAGCTCCTGAGTAGTCTGAATTTGACAAGTAGTCAAGGGTTCATCCCTGACTTCTGTGAGTGGTTGGGACACAGGGATGAATCACTCAGTCCTGATCCTCAAAAGGCTTACCATGTCTTGGAAGATGGAAGCCAGATAAAAAATGATTATAAAATCATGTAACATGCACAAAACAGAGAAGGGGAAATGGAGAAAGGGAGCCTGAAGGGTCCAGGAAAGACTTCACATTAGATCTGTACTGTATCAGACATCTATTGCTCTGAACAAGGCATCCTGCAAATCTAATTTAATTCGTTATTTCTCTATAGATTCTTTGAGTTCACAGGAGATTCTTGTGTTGGACCCACCTGGATTTGCTCATGTGGCTATTCCTATTCAAGTAGTGATGAGCCCTGGGCTAGCTCAGCTGAGATGACTGGCCTCACCCCTGTGCTCTCTCTTCCTAGGTTGCTTCCTGGAATAGTGGTCTCAGGATTCCAAGGTGGTGAGCCCTGGGCTCCAGGTCTTACACGAGGCCACTCCTACCATATTTTGTTGGTCAAAGTATCACAAAATCACACCAACTTCAAGGGGTAGGGAGGAATTCCAAAAATTCACAGGTGTATTTGTCACTTGGGATATGAAGGTGGTAAGGAGTTTCCCCAGCATACTAGGAGAGGTGTAAGGGGTGAGGGTGCACTGGGTAGAGGTACAGGACTAAACAAGATACTCTATCTGGGAAATATTCAAGGTTTAGAGTGGACAAAGGGGTAAACATTGGGAGTAAAGGTGTAGATAGGTTAAGAAGGGTCTAAAATGTCATCCCCAGAGTTTTACCTTGATGTTTTGAAAATTTTCTGAAGTCCATTTCAGGAGTCCATTGTAGCAGCCCACACTATAGGCAGGGTTGATATAATGCTCTTTTAAGCCCTGCATACCATCTCCTTTTCGGTTATCCCCTTCACAAAGCCCAGATTGCTTTGTAAATCCACTTCTATGTTCTGTCAGGCAAGGGTTCCTGGTTCTCCTCTTGTGGGCACCCATCTGTTGATCCAGGCAAGCTGCCCCTCCCTGACACACAAAGGAATGACTAGGTGGAGAATCAACCATATGGTCAGCAATGACTGAAACTACCCGTATTCCAATAGGCTTGGCTAGGAAAACTAATATTTGAAAAGCTGTGGTTTAGCAAAGTGACGAGTTGCAAGAACTTCTAATTTGTTTTACATCTTGTAGATGGAACTTGGGTCATTGTTAAAGAGGAAACTATTGACACATGTGGCTTAAGCAGGATGGTTTTTCTCTTCCTGATATCCCCACCTTCATACTAAAGCTGGAAGGATCAGTTGTTTACTCTAGAGCTCCTATAGTTGAGGATGCTGTGTATTTATACCTCGTGAAGGTTTAATTGTAAAATTGTTAGCTTTTAGCCTTGTAACTTACTCAGGCTTGATGTAGAAAGGTACTGCAGCATAGTGTCAGGAGTCTAATGGCAAAAAAGACCCAGCATAATCGCTGAATGTCCTTCTCATGAAACAGATCATTGCTGGCCTGTACTGCTCCCTTAACCAAATTAGCAAAAGGTGTGTCCTCTGAGGTGCCACCTACCACAGCTGAGTACAGATTAGATTTTAGTCCCCACCAATCCTTCTCCTCAAATTGGTGCCTCTGTGCAGTGTAGAGGTATAGTCCCCCAGGTACAGTCCTGCCTCATATAAATTTATTGATAATTTAAATATAAACCAGGGACAAAACATAACCAGAGTCTTATTTGAAACAGTATCATTTAATACTTTCACCTAAAATAAGTAATGAGTGCTGAAATACAGCCTAGATTATAGATTAGATAAAAATACATTATTTTACTCTCTTCTAGAAAAATGATTATGGCATTGGCAAATCAAATGGAAAAAAGAGAATGAGCAGATCTGGGATTACCTGGAAATGGTTAGTTCCTTATAAAGGTTCAATACAATCTATATGTTTATTAAATAATATCTAGTAGAGCAAATGTTTATTACAAATATGAAATAGGAAACATTAATTTGAATGGGTTATCTGTTGGTCATACTGATAAGTTAGAAATATTAAAAGTATGGAAATGCTTGATTGTAAAGAGCCCAATTGATACATTAAACAGAAATTGCTAATAGTTTCTAGCTCTTAAAATAAGCTTGATTATTCATTTGTATGCACAAGTTAGCTCTAGAAAGAAGAGCCACAAAGAAACCAACTGTGGAAAGAACCTTGAACTTGTCCTTTTAGAAAGTTAAAAAAAAAAAGGATGTATGACTGTAGCAGCTTTTTTGGCCTTGACAACTACCATGTGGCACATTTTATATGATATGAAAAAAAAAGGGGGGGTCAATAGATCTCAACTTTCTGGAAGTCAACTCAAAAGCTGAATGCAACTAGCATGTTTGGATTTTATAGTATAAAATAAAATTACCTTTATTTTTTATTTCGATCTTTTTTGTGATACTGGGGATTAAACCCAAGGGCACTCTACCCCTGAGCCACATCTCCAGCCATTTTTTATTTTTATTTTGAAGCAGAAAGTTGCTGAGGCTGGCCTTAAACTTGTGATCCTCCTGTCTCAGCCTCCCGAGTTGCTGGGATTACAGGCATGTGCCACCACACCTGGTTTAGATTCCCTTTATAAAGCAAATAAAATCATGAACTTTGCTTTTAGTAATTTTTTCCTCTGAGGTTTAGATACTTTGCGGCAGGCTATAGCCAATCTAGTAAAACTGATGTGAAATAATGATTTTATAGTGTAAATATTAAACATAAGACTTTGATTACATTTAACACAGAGGGAGTAGAGTTGAAAATGCACAGAATATTTTCATTCTGACAAGTACACACTACACTAGAATTTACTTGCAGAGAAATGCAGTCAGGGGGTACTGCTGTGCCTGCATACTCCACACTGCTCATTTGCTGATGATCCAGGGCAGGGGAGACACACTTCCAGAGCTAGACCCCAAGAAAATGCTGTTTCTGTATTTCTTTCTGTTTAAATAACACTTATTTATGTAAGTGCCATTCTTGCCTTACAGGCCACACTATCATAGACTGGATTTGGTCCTTGGGCTGCAGTTTGCCAACTCCTGGTCTGCACCCTTTTATAATATAATACATTTTTATAATTTTCTTTTAGGTGCAGATGATCTCACAATAAATATTGATATCTCTCAATGAACTATATTTATAGGCTTAAAAGATTTCTCTAATAAATGTGCTCTGCTGTAACCTTAAAGTTAATTCTGTACGCTTAATTTAAAAGTGATGATTTGCAGATGTGACAATTGCCAGAAAAGTTTCAAAAGCTTTATGACAATTCTGTGAATATTCACATTACCAATGACTAAATCTAGTTCAAGTATTGACATTGTGCTATTATAAGCAATGAAACAGGTCACAATGAGTACAATGCACAGCATGAACTGTGATGGAATGCTATAATACTGACAGCTGCCAAGAGGAAAAAAAAAGGGGGGGGGGGGAAGCTTAGGGCACCTGTAGGCCTGTAATTAAATTTCTTGTTTGGGTTTTAGGATTTTCTAGTATAAAATATGGTGATCAATCTTTTCTTTTCTTTTTGGTACTGGGGATTGAACCCAGGGGTGCTTTATTACTGAGCCACATGCTTAGCCTTTTTTATCTTTTGTTTTGAGACAGGGTCTCTCAAAGTTGCTTAGGATTTCACTAAATTGCTGAGGCTGACTTTGAACTTATGATTTTCCTGCCTTAGCCTCCTGAGTTGCTTGGATTACAGACATGAACCACCACTGCACCTGGCTGATCAACCTTTTCTACACTAACTGCCAATCTAAACAGAGTAATTTACAGGACTTAATGATAAATGAAGACATTAAGAAACAATATTAGATATTTACAGTGCACTGAAATGGGGCCAGTACTGCTTAGCTTTTACTCCGAATGTTTATCAAATATTTATCAATGACAGAAATTCTGTAGCTAAACACTACTGCTTAAAGTCTGTCGTGATGTCTTCTCCTTTGCTGCTTTATCAGGAAAGGACTGTAATTTGGTGAGACTTGTCATCCCTCATACTTTCTACTTGTCCTTCAACAGTGTCAAGGTCTCATACCTCATACCTAAGTTAATTTTCAATGTGAATGTTAAGTAAAGCAGTAGCCTTACAAGGGTATATGCAGCTGACTGGGCTGAGAGTTCTGGAGAAATGGTTGAGTCCAGTGGCATGCTCACATAACCTCAGCAACACTAGCAACTCCCCCACGTGGAACTACAATTAGATGTTAAGAAGAAAAGAAAAAGGTGTTTCTTTGTTCTTAAAGGAAGTGCAACAATCTAAAAAACAGCATTAAAATTTTCCAGTTAGATGGATTGTGATGCTAAGATTCTTTTTTCTCCCTTTTTCTTTTCTTATTTTTTTGGTACTGGGGATTGAACACAGGGGTGCTTAACCACTGACCCACATCCCCTACCCTTTTTATTTTTATTTTGAGACAGCATTTCATTACATTGCTTAGGGCCTTGCCAAGTTGCTGAGACTGGGTTTGAACTCGAAATCCTCCTGTCTCAATCTCCAGAGCTGCTGAGATTACAGGTATGTGCTACCCGCCTGGTTTCCCTTTACATTTTCTAGCTTTTTTCATTAAGAAGCTTAAGTACATTAAACCGAATTTTAGTTGCTATTTGCAAATGGTTAGAACACAGTGAATAAGCTGTATTTTCAGACATTGAAAAACAAGATGAAGCGGTCAAACTAATTATATTATACCATTGATATATGGCACATAATGTAAGACAGAGGTAGATCCGCAAATAGCCACATAGCTGCAAATTACAATTGTAACTGGTTCTCTTTGAAACATCAATTTTACACAAATGCTTATCTAGCAGCACATCATAAATCACAGGCCAGAAGAATTTGCTATTATGTAAATGTGGGGTTAGAAGTTAATATTGCCAATTTTAGCAACAAATAATTGTTTTCAAGAGCAAAGCAATATGGAACTCATAGAACACATAAGAAAACCTTAAATTTTTAGACACTTTTAGGGGTATTGGCTAAATTCAGTAGGTACTGGTATTACAGTAGAACAACTTCTATAGGCAACTAGAGATTTCATGCATGTGCACTTAAGTTTTTGGTCTCTTAGTTTTCTTAGACTCACACCTCCTTCTCACACCTCATTCTCCTTAGTATAAGAAAAATCCTCTGTGTAGAGAAAGTTCAGATTAACCCGGAATTTTGCTGTATGTTGAATTTTGCATTATGTCTAAACCATCATACTTGATCTACTTCTTTTAAACTATTTTAATACCATTATTTTGGTTCTCACTTGAAGATCACTGAAAAACAAATGATCCTTAATCATCAGCATATCATAAAAATAAAAGAGATGACTTCAGGTGGTGGGGACTGTTTCATGAAAGTGCCAAGGCGGGTAGCCAACAAGTGCTCAATCAGATTAACACAAACACTTTTCACTTAGTTTTCCCCTAAAACAAAGTCAAATTGTTTTCAGTTTTCTAAAGAAAAAATGACAACACAAGAAAGATCTTCAAAAGAGCAAAGTGCTTCTTTAACATCCTAATAAAGTATTAATGTAATTTGCTCTGAGCTCACAGATGAGCACCTTTCACATCAGGTGATAAGCAAACATATCATTATTTGCTCAGCAGGAAACAGGCTTTTTGTACACTCTAGTTAACAGGAAGTTTTCTAAGTAAATGAAGGTAAGGGAGTGGGTAGGCATCCAATCCTGTAATATCTACCCAGAATCCAAGAAGGAAAAAGATGAAGCCATTGAAATAAAGATGAATTAACGTTTGCATACAATTTGGCACCAATACAAAGTACTGAGTGTGTCACTTGTTGCTAATAAGAGAGCCATTGTGTAGGTACAAACTGACTTGGAAAATTAAAAAGCCAATTAAGAGGCCTGGCTTTTTTTTCTCTGATTTCTACTCAACACATATACAGTGTTCTATGTGGAGCATTCATGCTGTCTGTCCTCAAAACAGTAATAAAGGTCTTTGAAGAACTGACTAGTCATACAAGTCATCAGGAGTGCAGATGTCTCTATAGTGAGATGCTGGGCAATTTTCAAATGACCAATGGTAGTGGCTGAATTGAACATTCAACAAATAGTTCTAAATGGCCCAGTTTCAGGGCGCTCTCTTAATCTGACTTTACTACTGCAGAATATCAGTCTTATGATATTAGCAGAAGTCAGGAAGGATGTGCTTTTGTTCCCATAAATGGATTCTTCATGCAGTACAAAAATATAACGGTGTGAAACTAATTCTTTCTAAAGTGATAGCCAAAGATAGATGGAGGAGAATGTAGCCAGAAGTTATAATCTTGTGGCAAAAGAAAAAAGTTTTATGGACTGCACTGGAACTACATAGTTTTATGTCCTTCTAAACACAACCAAGGTACTCTTCAGGTTTACGTTTTGGCAGGTATTGTTCTTGCTCAAAAGTAAATGGAAAAAAAAAAAAAAGTAGATGGAAGTATCTGCCCAATGGCTTGTTGCTATGCTAAGGGAAGGAAAATAGTACTCGGGCTAAAACTAAGGCCAGTAGGTAAATAAAACAATTTTTGGCTTTAAATATGTATCAAGGTTACTTACTGAATATTGGAAAAATGACAAGAGTGTTTTTTTAAACTTGGCAGAAAAGAAAAACCAATTTTTCTTTTGAAGCCATAGCTCAAAATGTAATCATTAGACGTTAAATATCTGCTCCTTCATTTTTTGATTATGAAAAGTGATTCAATTTGTTATACATTCAAATCAAAATTATAACTAGCTGACTTATATGAGATTTTACTGCTATTTCTTAGCAATGTAATCTTTGGATGTTCTGCAAGTTACAATTTTTTAATGAAATTATTTTCATTTAATCCATTCAAATGTATGAAGCATCTACTTAATAGTAGATGGGCATTTAATCTGTAAACTCTGCAGTGTAACTATTAACAGCTCCATTTTATTGTTGAAGAAACTGGCTTAAAAAAGAGACTTGTCCTTTATATCTATTTCCTTCAAAAAATGAAGGAGCAGATATTTTAATAAACTTTATATAAATAGAATTCTGACCATTTAATCTCTAGTTAACTTGACATACTTCCCTGGGCACAACTATGGCCTCTCTGAGAACTGGAAAATATCACATAAGGCAAAAAGCCAGCATTTTATGACATTCCCTGATAACTTCAAATAAGTTAGCTAGGAGACTGGGATATGGGTAGGCTAGATCAACCATCATATTTGCCTAGCCATAAAAACAGATACAATTTAAAGATCTGCAAAGATCAAAGCAAAGGAAGCAACCACCTTTAACTGAGGAGCAGCAGTCTGTAGGTGTCCTGGTGGAGCTTCAGAAAGGATAAAAGATGACCCGCCTGTTCTGATTGGTCATGGTCCACAGATATCTCAGAGCCCATGGCAAATCCTGGGAGGTGACAAGTATTGAACCCACTGGCCAGTCTGAATTTGCTTATACTATTCCATCTGCCTAGCACCAAGATGGACAGTGAAGAGGTGCTATCTTTAATCCCACAGGGAGCTCTCTTTTTCCCCTCCATCTTGGAAAATCATCTGTGAGGTTAATAGGACAACACTATAAACCAAAGCTGACACAGCTAAGTGGTGTGTCACAGCTGGCCATCTGGATACAGGGTTTGCCAGTACTTAATGACTATTTTCATCATTTAATCAAACATTAAGAAAGGTATAATTCACATGCAACCCTGTCAAAAAGAAAAATGGTTAATTTCCTATGACCAGCACAAACTGTTAACCTGTTAAGAAAAGCCCAATTTCCCCAGCATTCTAAAATATAAATACACATCTGTTTCTTTATGAACATCTTAGGATGAAGATGAGGAGGACAAATGAGATAAAGCCAGGAGCCAACATCCCACAGGTCCATTCCTCATCCTCCCTGTGGCCAGGGCATTAATTAGAAAATCACTCCTCTGTTGTGATGGTCATGATGTATTTGAATATGTAGATCTTTAGATATCTCTTATTTATCCTGTCAGGTTTATGATAAGTGTCTTTGTTTTAATGGTGGAATAATCTCATCAGTACTTCCTGAGAGGCTCAAACATGATCACTGGCCAGATTCCGAAGAGAAACTGTGGAAACAAGTTAGGACAAAACAAGAGAAGATAAGATTGTTAGAGGTTATCCCCCAAAAGGAATGAGAAAGAACCTGCAGGGCTGTGACTCCAGTGCTTGCTGAGTCTGCTGGTGACTGTTCTGATAAATAGCCTAAGTGCGACACATTCCTTCTAGACTTGCACCAGTCTCAGAAATTATTTTCATTTAATTCATTCAAGTGTATTAAGTATTTACTTAATAGTGGACGGGCATTTAATCTGTTAACTCTGCAGTGTAGCTATTAATAGCTCCATTTTATTGTCAAAGAAACTGGCTTAAAAAAGAGACTTGTCCAACATCATGTAGTAATAAACTGAAGACTTAAAGAGTCTATGTCCTTTGATTTCAAAGCCTGTGCTCCACTACCTTTCCATGCCCCTTTTCTTCTCCTACATCATCCCATCTTCCCAATACCCTCCCCCTTCATATACACATGCACATGCCTGCCCCCCTCCTCTCAGGACATGGACTTACTTTCACTTTTGGTCTGTGTCTCAGGTAAAGTGTTCTAGTGTATAAACTGGAAGAAAAAGAGATGGGAAGAGGTCTTAAGAATAATTTTTAATCCATGAACACTGGTTTACTGACAGAGTTAACCATACTGCCTTTGTATATACAAAGAAAAAAACACTGGCATATCTAACATGTGGCAAGGTGCTAAGGAAGACAGAGAAATGATTAACTTGTATACCATGACATCAGAATGTTTATAGTTCAGTAGTGGGCATCCCACTAATGCTTGATATGATTTATATCACAATTAACTGTTCCATCTTTTTTTTTTTCAGGACTGGGCTTGAACTCAGGGGGACTCTACCACTGAGCTACATTTCCTTTTTTTGTTTTGGTACCAGGAGGCACATAACCCCCTGAGCCATATCCCTAGCCCCTTTTATATTTTATTTTGAGACAGGGTCTCCCTAAGTTGACTAGGGCCTTGCTAAATTGCTGAGGCTGGTTTTGAACTTGTTGTAATCCTACTGCCTCAGCCTCCACAGCCATTGGGATTACAGACATGTGCTACCTACCTAGCTTCCCAACCCTTTTTATTTTTTATTTTGAAGTATTTTTATTTACATGCTTCAGTCAACGAGGTACCTCTATATCCCGAATTTCCACATAACTGAAGCTGAAACATCTAAGCTTCTTTTATTTTAATTATTTAGAATGAAGTATCTCTAAAGAATATTTTATTCTTTCTCTTTTTAAAAAAATGATAGTAAAGGGTTGGGAATATAGTTTAATGTCAGAGAGCATGCCTAGCATATGAGAGGCCCTGAGTTTGACCCCCAGCACACATACAAAAAAAAAAAAAAGAAAAAGAAAGTAAACAATTTAAACATTAACAGATAACAAATTAAAAAAAAAATGAACTCAAAACCCTGCCACCTACTTGAGAGGCTGAAGCAGGAGGAGCTCAAGTTCAAGGCCAGACTGGGCTAATAGTGAGACCCTGATTCAAAGGGCTGGGGACACAGCTCAGTGGTAGAACACTAGCCTATCGCGTGTGAGGAGCCCTGGGTTGGATCCCTAGTACTATTAAAAAAAAAAAAAAGAAGAAGAAGAAGAAGCAAAAAAGACTGTGCCACCAAATCTAGCCAAGTTTTATTTTTCTACATTTACTTTTTTCCCACATGCAATCTAATTTTCCCACAGGCTTAATAATTTCATTAGTATGAATCTGTTTCACATAAATATTAGATTTTCTTTCTTTCTTCCTTCCTCTCTTCTTTTTTTTTTTGTACCAGGGATTGAACCCAGGGGTGCTTAATCACTGAGCTACATCCCTAGCCCTTGTTATATTTTATTTTGAGACAGAATCTCACTAAGTTGCTTAGGGCCCTGCTAAGTTGCTGAGGCTGGCTTTGAATTTGTGATCCTCCTTCCTCAGCTTCCAGAGCCGCTGGGATTACAGGCATGTGCCACCATGCCTGGTAAAATATTAGATTATTTTTCTATGTTGCTATAATCTTTCCATATTTTTAATTTTAAATAGTGAAATAAAGGACATATTATAATTTATTTTGTGATTCTGTACTATTGGGTAGTTTGTTTTGTCATTTTTCTAAATTAACAACATTATGAGAAGCATTTTTGTATTTACAGAAATTTTTATTATTTTTGGATAATTTCTCAAGGGTAAATTCCTAGGAATATAATAATGGATAATAAATGTAAATTTTAAAAAATATTGTTGTGATGCTGGGGATTGAACCTCATGTGTGCTAGGCAAGCACTTTATTATTGAGCTATAACCTCAGCCCAACATTTTAAAAATTTATTTATCTATTTATATCAGGTATTGAATCCTGGGCCACTTATCCTCTGATCCACATCCCCAGTCCTTTTTAGTTTTTATTTAAATACAGGGTCTCACTAAATCGCCTAGCTTTTTGCAAAATTGCTGAGGCTGGCCTCGAACATGCAATCCTCCTGCCTCAGCCTCTTGAGTCACTGGGATTACAGGTGTGCATCACCACACCTGGCCCAACATTTTATTTTTATAAACACATGTAATTGTCAAATTTCTCCTCAAATGCTTTGCATTAATTTATACTGTCAAGTAATGTGTGATCATACCATTTTTACTGCAATATAAGGAATGCTGAAGGGAGTTTCAAAAAACTATAGTTCACTTTACAAAATGCATCCCATTAGTTTATTTTAAAATTATTATTTTGAATAGGTAATGAGTCAGTTGGCAAAACACCTCAAAAAAATGCAAGAATACACAGTAAAAAGAAGGTGTCTTTTCTACCCCTGACCCCCCCCCCCCCCAATTCCCCACTTTCATGGCCCAAAGGAAACTGATGTTACTTATTAGTTTCCCTACATAAACAGATAGTTTATGCCTTTATAAGCATACACATATGTTAATCTTTTTTTCCTTCCCTCCCCTCCTTTTCTTTCTTTCTGTTACTGGAGATTGAGCCCAGAGGTGTTCTGCAACTGAGCATATCTCCAGTCCTTTTTTATCTTGAGCTCTGCTAAGATTTCTTTCTCACAAAAATAGACATATTATTGTTTTAGAATGCATTTTCTTCTAGCTAGATGAAATTTTTTTTCACTCATTTGCTCCAAATATCTCCAAAACACAGGGTCCCTTCTCCCTTTTTAAAATTTAAAATAGTTTCAAATGAACAGGAGAGATTGATATGATAAATTCCTGTAACCCCTTCTCCCAGATTGTTACCAACCATTTAATTACCTTTGTTCCATCATACCCACACACCTATATATACACACACACACACACACACACACACATACACACACATACACAAATATGCATATAAATACATGTACACATAATATACATATATGTGCATATGTATTCTATAGAGTCTCTGTCTGACATGATGTTCAATCACACCCTAAATATCCCAATGTGTTCTAACATAAAACAAAGACACTCTCTTAAATTACTATAAAATAGCCCTTCTAATCAGGAAATTAACATTAATATAACAGTAATATCTAAGCCACAGACCTCAATACAATTTATTGTCCTAAAAATTTCTCTTCTTTCTTTCTTACTGAGCCAGGTTACTAGCCAGGAACATAGTTTGTATTTACTTTTCTTTCTTCTATTGACACAAGGTCTTGCTAAGTTGCTTAGGGACTTGATAAATGGCTTAGGCTGGCCTTGAAATTGTGATCCTCTTGACTCAGTCTCCCCAGTCACTGAGATTGTGTCATTGCATCCAGCTTCTTTGTATTCTTCTTTTTATTTTTTAGTGGTGCTGGGAATGGAACTTGAAGAATGGTATATGCTATACAAGTCCTCTATTAGCATTGACTGAGCTACATACAGCACCAGCCCTTTTAATTTATTTTTTAAAAATTTGAGACAGGGTCTTGCTATGTTGCTCAAGTTGGCCATGAACTTGCCATCCTCCTGCCTTAGCCTGGTGGGTAACTGGGATTATAGATGTGTGCCATGGTTCTTAGCTGGAGAGGGACTTTTTAAAGGTCATTAGTGGCAGAGGCAAAACTGGAACATAAGTTCCTGATCTCTCTCTCTTAACATTTCATACTTACACCATTCTATTCTAAGAGGAAAAACAAAATAACCCTTCAATACTAGGTTAAAAAAAATCTCCATTTCCTACCTGAAAAGGATGTGAAGATAAGAACCCAGTCCAGTTAAAATATGCCACCATGCATGAAACTGTGTGGTAACACCTAGAATAGGTGGCGCCTCCCTTCGAAAGTCCCTGTGTGGAGAGGAGGAAAAAAAAAATCACATTAAAAGTTAAAAATATTTATTAGCACTAGTGTTGACAGTGTTAAGAGTATTTTGAAATACCACTTTCAAATATGGCAATTATTTAATTTCCTTAAGTCACCATACTATTTTTTAAAGTGTATTCTGAGGAACAGCACTCCTAGAAGTTCCATGAAGTGACTCTACTCAAATTAATGTGAGAAACATCACATAATTTTTTGCCTTCTTTTTGGTAACACACTTTGGGAAACGCTAGTCCAGCTAGTTAGTTCTCTTGAGTCTATCCACTAAGAAACTGGATATATGCTATTCAGGTCACCTTGGTGTGGCACCATGTAAAGCCCTTTAATAGCTATTATTTTTGTTCATATTCAGTGATTCCTTGATAAACCTTTATTATTTGCTTTGCTTTAAAAATATTTTTGCAGGTTATGAGAGTTGCCTAAGTCAGTCAGTTAGTTATACAGCTGGGTGTCAAATTCCAGATTTTTTTTTTCTTTTCACAGTACTAGAGTTTGAACTCTAGGTGTAGCAGAATGGTAGAGCTTGCCCTTTTTAAATTTTATTTTGAGACAGAGTCTCACTAAGTTGCCGTGTGCTGGCTTCACATTTGTGATCCTACTGCCTCAGCCTCCTGAGTAGCTGCAATTTCAGGTGTATACACCAGTATAGCCAGCTCTAGGTCTTTCCATTCAGTTTATAACATATTAGCATTTGCTAGAGAAGAAAAGCAAATATGAAACACCAGATGATTTTTCTAGATATTGTCATCAATATTTGAGACAATTACCATCTTTAAGAGCCACATTGTATGTTGTCAGTTCTCAACAGGGGCTGATGATCTCTCAGCAATGAGAGATCATCCTTGGTGGGGATTTTGCTGGGTATTCCTGATTCAGAACCATGTACATAGCTTTTAGTTTTCTAAACAAGATGTGTTACTTGCTTGTCTACATTTGAAGTCTATATTTACTTATTTAACTGTTTACTATGAAGAATTTCAAATGTGCAAAAGTAGGCAAAATAATATCCAACGTGAGTAATTATCAACTAGTGGTAATGTAAGGGGAAAAATAGATGAGGATGGTGGGAACACGAGGTTAAGAGAAAAATTCTATAAAATGAGCCGACTATACTGACTCTCCACATGCTTTCTTTGCCAAAAAGCAATGTCTGCAGCTCGGTGGGGCCTGAAGGGACAGGATATGTCACATTCCTTAACAAACTGAGACACAGGGTAAAGATCTGGCAGTCAGTGTAGATAACGAATATCTGATTATCACTTGCTATCACACTTCCCAGGTCAATGGGTTGTTAATAGCTAACCTCTTGGATAGCACTTCCCAGCACAAGGAGTTGGTAAGGATTAACCCCTGTACTCTCCTGCCCTTAGTTAGGCACATACACCTGAAGATTAAAAGAGGGGTCTATAAAAGAGCAAGGCACACCCACTCCCACAGACTCCCAGCTCTGGGGCCCCTTTTTCTTGGAAGAAGTCTGTTGCTCTCTTTTTACATAAATAAAACTGGCTTCCGCCTCAGCCTTTCTCAGGTGTTTAATCTTCAAAGGGAGGGGTGGGGTGGGGGGTGGGGACAAGGACCTGTTTCTGATCTCAAAGACCAGTATCAGTAATGTGTGTCATTTAAATCTCTACTCACTTCTCCCTCTATATTATTTTGAAGCAAATACTAGATATTAATAGCATTTGATGTCTAAATATTTTAGTTATATCTCAAAAAGATAAAAACTCTTTAAGACATAAACTACAGTACCATTTTCATACCTGAAATATTAATAAAAATCCCTTAGTATCATTATATATTCAATTATTGGCCAGAGTTCTAAATTTTTTGTAAGTTTTTTTTTTTTTTTTAAGATTCAGAGTTGGTTTATTTGAATAAAGACACCCTCCCCACTCCCCTGAAAAAAGGCTAACACATTGTATTTAGCTAATATATCTCTTAAGTTCCTTAATCTATAGGTTATTCCTCCCTCTTCCTCCTACCCTCTGCTATTTATTTGCTGCAGAGATCAGGTCATCTAACCTATAACTTCCTCAAGGTCTGAACTTTGCTGACTGTCTCCCTGTGGTGCTGTTCAATATAGCCCCTGTCTTCCATATTTATGTAAAATTTTTAGGTCACAGAATTTTGAGTTGGAATGGTATACTAATTTATCTATTTGACATGCTCATTTTATGGAAATTGAGGCCTAGAAAAATAGTATCCTAGTGAAAGATGAGAGTTGAGAGAACTAAGTTTAAGATACATAATTGCTGACAAGATGGTAAAAGGAATACTTACCTTTTTTAGAAAATAACATTGACCATATGAAAGTGCAATTTATATTTGTTTATTACAAATCATTCTTATTTATTCAACAAAGCAGATTAGTAGGTTTCAAAGATGTAGTTAACATTTGATTAATTGTACAGTTCTGTGATACACACACACACAAAACCCAAAGTCTGCAGAGGTTATGAAATAGTCTCAAAGTCTGCAGAGGTTATGAAATAGTCTCAGGCTCAAACTTTTAGGTAATTTTTAACAGGTATTCCCAGCACTTTATTGTGCTGTATACATATTTTGTTTTTCTCTTTTCTTTCAATACTGGCTTTTGAACCCAGGGCCTTACACATGCTTCTTAAGATCTCTACCACTGAGCTACATCCCCACCCCTTTTTAGTTTGAGACAGGATCTCACTGAGTTGCCCAGGCTGGCCTTGAACTTGCAATCCCAATCCTCCTGGCTTCAGCCTTCCAAGTAGCTGCCATTACAGATGTGTTACCTTGCCCAGTTTGTATATATTTTAAAAATGACAACATTAGTAAAAATTTACTCAGGGTGTTTTTCTTTAGACCTTTCCTTTTCACCACATGTGGCTCAAAGCACTGATATTTCTGTATGCCTATGAAATTTTCTGTTTAATAGAAAGCTTCCAAAAAGTATTTCTCAAGGAATGAAAATATATCTTACCTCAGCGAGTCACAAAAGATGTTATCTATGTTCCATAATAAAAATCCCAATAAAAATAAACCCAAAGATGTATACCCCAGTCCTCTAAGCCATGGATAAACCCTGTAGAAAAAAAAGAAAAGCAAAATGAAAATTTCTCAGATCATGTCATGAACACAGCTTGGAGTCATCATTTTCTGAGAAGGAAAGGTTTTCATTAGTATTAAAAGCCAGTTTGTATTTAATGCATTTGCTGAAGATGTGTAGGGCCAGTCTTCCTTCCTTCCTATACTGGGGATTTAACCCAGGGGTACTTTACCACTGAGCTACACCCCCAGCCCATTTTTATTTTTACTTTGAGACAGAATCTTGCTAAATTTCCTAGGCTGGCTTTGAACCTGTGATCCTCCTGCCTCAGCCTCGAGAGTTGCTGGAAAAATAGGGTGTGCCACCATGCCTCGCCTCATTTTTAAAAATGTGGGTCTTGCTGTGTTGCCCAGGGCTCAAGTGATCCTCCTACCTCAACCTTGTGAGTAGATGGGAATACAGGTGTGTAATATGCCCAGTCATTTCCCAAATATATTTGCCATTAAAAGGTACCGACAGAGAATGGGCCACCAAGACTTGCTAAGTATATCAGGAGGCTAATCTGAAAGCACTCACTAACTCAGAGACTAGGGAATGGTGGATTAGAATTAATGTGGATCAATTCACATGCTCTGTTAGGCACTAAATTTAAAACACACACACACACACACACACACACACAGACACAGACACACATTCATTAAATCACTTGATAATATATACTGAGCACTTACTGTTTTCCTAGCATTGTTAAGAGCATTTGAGAGGTTGGCAGTGCATAAGATAAAGTCCCTGCTCTCAAGGAACTTAGAGTATATAAAGAGAGAGGGTAAATAAAAACATAACTGATTTGAAAAAAAAAAAAAAGGCCTGGGAAGGGGAAAGATGGTGATATGGAAGTATTATCTGGATGGGGTGTGCAAACACACACACACACACTCACTCTAAAATCTTTAAATAAATCCTTGAAGTATGTATTATTCTTTTTACTTTACCAGTGAGGAAACTGCAGGTTGGTGAGTTACCCAAAATAATAATGGCAGCTTATTTATTTTTTATAGCTTCAATGAGGTAAGCTGTATATATTTTTAAAGTATATATTTGATGAGTATATCTGTACATACACATGAAACAACCACAACAATCAAGATAATCAACATAACAACATCACCTCCAAAAGCTCAGTTTGCAATTTTTTTTTTTTTTAGAACGGAATCATGCCATATATAGTCTTTAATGTATGGCTTTTTTTGACATTTTGAGATTCATTTCATGTTGTAATGTGTATCAGTACTTCATTTCTTTTTATTGCTCAATAGTATTTCATTGTATGGATATAGTACAATTTATTTATCTGTCTAAATGCTGGTGAACATATTTGTTTCCAGTTGAGCAATACAAATAAAGCAGCTATAAACATCCATGAAATGAATGCTAGGAAAGAAATGCCTGGGTTGTATGGCAGATAAATGTTTGACTTTTTTTTTTTTTTTTTGGTGATACTTTGGATTAAACTAGGACCATGTACATATTAGGCAAGTGGCTACCACTGAGCTGGATCTCCAGGTCTCCAACTGTTCTCCTAAGGCATGGCTCTCATTTACATTTCTACTAGTTTCAGTTATTCCACATTCTCAATATTTGGTATGTTCTTTTCATTTTAGCTATTCTAGCAGTGTTATTTCATTGTAGTTCTTCGTCTTTCTCTTTCTTTTTTTAGTGCTAAGAATGAACCCAGGGGCATTTAATTACATCCCCAGTTCTTTTAATATTTTTATTTTGAGACAATATCCAGCTAAATTGCCCAAGTTGGCCTAAAACCCTCCTGCCTTAGCTCTTTGTGTTTCTTGGATTACAAGGTTGTTACACCGGGCCCTGGATCTTTGCTTTTTTTTTTTTTTTTTGGTACCAGGGATTGAACTCAGTCAGGGGCACTCGACCACTGAGCCACGTCTCCAGCCCTACTTTGGAATTTTATTTAGAGACCAAGTCTTACTGAGTTGCTTAGTGCCTCACTTTTTGCTGAGGCTGGTTTTGAACTCACAATCCTCCTGCCTCAGCCTACTGAAACGCTGGGATCACAGGTGTGCGCAACCACGCCTGGCTGGATCATTGCTTTTAATTTGCATTTCCCTAATCGTTAATGTCCTTGAGCATTTTTTCACGTGTTTATTGACATCCATATATCTTCTTTGATGCAGTACTTATTTGCTTTCTTATTATTGAGTTGTAAGATTCTTTTATACATTCTACATGTACATCCTTTTTTGGATAAATATTTTGCAGGTATTTTCTCCAAATCTATGACTTGCCTTTCATTTTCTGAACACTGTCTTGAAGAATAAACTTGTCAATTTTTTTTTTTTCCTTTGGAATGGTGTCTTGCTGTGTTGTCCAGGCTGGCTTGAACTCTTTGGGCTCAAGGGGTCATCCTGCCTCAGCCTCACAAGTAGCTGTTATTACAGGCATCCATCACCAAGCTTGGCTATTTTTTTTTTTTTTTTGAGAAAAAGGAAAAAGGTTTATTGCTTTGCTAACAAAGGAGAAATACAGGGGACTCCTGTCCCAGAGGCTGTGATTCTCCCTATCAGGGAAAACAGAAGGCTTTTAAAGAAGCTCTTTAAGGGTTGCATTCCAGGTGTGATCTTGTAGGGGGTCCCTAGACACCTTAAAATTTTTTTTAATAATGGTGTTAAATTGAAGTTCATTTCCTCTCATAAGACTATTCAGTTGTGATGCATAATTTGTCAAAAAGATGATCTTTTTTCCTACATTACCTTGGCATGTTTACTAAAGATCAGGTCAATATGAGTGTACAGGTCTATTTTTGGATGTTCTGTTGATCTGTATTTCATTCTCACCACCAATGCAATATTTTCTTTATTGGTGTAGGAGTAAATCAAGTGGTGTTAAGTCCTTTTTTTCTTTGGTGCTGGAGTTGGAACCTAGGGCTTATGCATGCTAAATGTGCTCTATTACTGAGCTACACACCCAGTCCTAACCATCTTTGTTTTTCTTTTTCAACGCTGTTTGGTAATTCTAGATCTTTTGAATCCCATTTAAATGTCAGAATCAGATTTTCATTATATTGAACCTACAAATAAATTTGGAAGAATTGACAATATTGAGTGAAGTATTTTTTGCTAATAAATAAATCTCTTAGCAAAAACCTGTATAGTTTTCAATATACAGATCATGCACATAATTTAACCCTAAATATTTAATGTTGTTATAAATTTTACTTCAAAAAATTTTGTTTTCCATTTATTCAGTGCTAGTAATAGAAAATGATTTTTTGTTTGAATGACTGTAAAAATTTCACTTATTATTGCTAGTAGTTTTTTGGTACATGTTCTTTGATATTTTCTGTACACAATCATATTGCCATAAATACCACATTGGATAGGACTTCCATCAGCATAAAGCTGAGTAGACATGGTATTAGCATAATATCCTTATTTTATTCTTGATTTTCAAGGAACACCCTCCACACACACACTGGGAATTGAACTCAGTGGTGCTTTCCCACTGGGCTACGTCAAAAGCCTTTTTCATTTTTTATTTTGAGACAGGGTCTCACTAAGTTGCTGAGGCTGGCCTCAAACATGTAATCCCCCTGCCTCAGCCTCCCTAGCTGCTAGGATTATAGGCATGTGTCACCATGACTGGCTCAAAGAAATTTCAAAAAGTGTATCATGACTAAGTGTGTTATATACTGTAGTGTTTATAAGGTAAGAAATCCCCGTTTTTTGTGGTGCTGGGATTGAACCCAGGGCCTTGTGTATGTTAAGCAAGTACTCTCCCACTGAAAAATGATTTTATCACTAGTTTGTAAGGTCTTTTGTTTATTATTTATTATCAGATCATGAACAAAATGTTGAATTTTACAGAATGCTTTCTATAAATCTACAGATACCATCATGCAGTTTTCCCCTCTTTATTTTTACTTTTTGGAATATGTAGAACAGTTTAAATAAATAGTTTTACATACAGTACCTTACATATAGAACAGTGTGTTCGCAAATTTAAATAATATCTGAATGTACAATGTCACGTGTTCCTTTTTTTTTTTTTTTTTTGTGGTGCTGGGGACTGAACCCAGAGCCTTGTGTATGCAAGGCAAGCACTCTGCCAACTGAGCTATATCCTCAGCCAGCATGCATTCTTATCAAAGATAAATTTAAGTTCACTGTTTATCAGTTCTAAAGTACATTTATACAGATTGCTAGAACTGATAAACAGAATGAGGCATAAAATACTCAAGTGTTATATGTCATCAAATAGCCTCCTATTAATAGTCTTTTCCCCCTTTAAAAAATTTCCTTTATTTTTAAAACATGGTGAACAGCAATAATAGATTTTTTTCAACTATCTTGTTATTTTAACTATATATATTCATATACAAGTGAATAAAAAGGTGATTGATTTAAAAATCCAGAAGGAAAGCACAAACCTGGCAATGTATGTAAAGGGCACTACTCTCCTGTTGGATGAAGGTTCTCAAGAGAAGATGAGTTTATAAGAGAATCACAGATTTCAGCTTTTCAGAGTTTATTACAGTCCACATTTGGGAAAGACAAGAATGAGTCCCAGGAAATGGGGCTCATTCAGAGAAGGTACCTGGCAGGGTAGCAGTTTGTGCTAGGTGTGGGAATGTGACAGGAATATGATTAGGAGGGAGTAGAGTGCTGGTTTTTTTTTTTTTGCTTCTAAACTTACTTACCATGGCCAATCTTCAGCTCTCAGGAGTAGTTCAAAGCAAAATTCTTCTGTGGGGTGAAATGAATTGTCTTTGGTTATCCAGGTAGCAGGGCACGGAGGAGAGAGCAAGAACTTTATCAGCACATGGTCCATGCAAGCTAAGTACAGGTATGATTCTAGGAACATTCTACCCATACATTGTCAAGTGCAAGAGTGTGAAATAAGAAGGCCTCAAAATATCTATGTTTGGAGTTACACTGTTTCATTCTAGACTGGCTGCTTGTCTGGTGTATAGCTATTCTCTGAAAAGTCCTTTCCCTTCACTTTCACCTTGG